ATATATCTTCTTTACATTTACTTATCAACTGTCTACATATTTCGTATTCGATTTTATCAGAATTCATATCAAAATCATTACAAAATAAAAATACCAAATCAATCTTATCTTTGATATTCTGACCAATTAAATATAATCTATTTGCATATTTCTCATGTATTAAACACTTTTCCATCAGATTTGTAATATAATTTTTAATTTCTTTACGTTTTTCTATCATTAAAACCATAAAATCTTCCAATAATCTTTTATAAAAATCATTAGAAAATACAGTATTGTTTTCCTCAGAATTTGTATCAGTAGATACCGAAGTATTTCTATACCTATCAGATCTCATTTGAAGATATTTGCGAGCTCTCATCTGTGTAGAAAAAGTGTTATCCTTTATTTCAGGCAAATGCCCATTTTTCAAATCTAAAAACGCATATTTTTGATTTTTATTATTTATATCATCACTGCTAAGTATAAAACTATTTATAAAAAGCAAAAAAATATACATTTAATCAAATCAAATTTTTATTATTTTATAAAAATATTTTTTTAATTTAATTAATTATAGAATCAAACACATCTAAATTAAACACTAATTTTAAAATTTAAACAGATTAATCTATGTTAGTAAAAAAAATATTTAAATACATAATTTATATTTTCATTAAATCTTTTTCAGAATGAATTATAGAATCAAAACCTTATTTTAAATTTAAAATAAATTTAATAATTAATTTTATTTTCTAACGCAATAAGAAATGTTCAATCCAATTAAATTCAAAGTAAAACATCGTAATTTAATTTTTAGTATCTTACAATATTTTTTTAATTTATCAAATATATTTTTCTAATTTTTAAAAATATTCATTATAAAACATACATCTTAAAAAACCTTTTAATTAAAATATAAACTTATTTTAATCTATAAACTTAAAAAAAATTCATTTTCTTTACAATGAAATACTTAGATTGATTTAATTTAGATTATAAGAATATATAAAACTACAACTCAATATATCAACTCATAGAAGAATATATAAAGTGATAAAACCCAAAATATAATAATTATATACTATAACTCTTCTTTAAAAATACCATTAAAATTAATAATGGTTTTAGATACAAAAATATAAAATTAGGATTTTAAATATTCCTATCTTGTTTCACCCCCTTTTTATGTAATTTTTATTACATCTAAAGCACCGACAGCAATGTCTCCACCTCTAAGTGGTTCTCTGCATTTAATACATCGAGTAGTCTTACAGTAATAAAATGAACCTGAGACTAACCATCTCACTTTATTTAAATTCTTTAGTAACAAAAAACCAACTTTAAAAAACAAATATAAAGTTACATTCATAAGATTTTGTAGCAATATTTATAGGAGAAAGCAATTGTCTTTTTAAAATATTATGTCAGTTTTAAAACATAAATTTTATTTTAATAAACATAACTCTTCTTTACAAAAAAGTATTTTCAAAAAGGAAACCAACTAAGTAATGAAAAGTAAAAAAGAAAAAAAATATTTTTAACTCTGAATTTTATTAAATAAATTTATATTTTTCTATTTAGTAAATTAAAATTACAATAAAAAATTGTTTTAAATATAAGTAAGAATTATTAATCTTATCTTAAGTTTAAATTAGTAAAATTACAATAAAAAATTGTTTTAAATATAAGTAAGAATTATTGATCTTATTTTTCTATTTAGTAAATATTCTCTAATTATTTACAATATTAGAGCTACTAATCATTTGTATACAATTATAAGTATATTACTTAAATATTTATTACCTTACTTAGTAATACAATTATTATAATTCAATCTATTAACTGTACTTCGATTATTACTAAATATTCTTGATTGTAAATAAATTTATCTTTTTTTACAAAGAATCAATAAATATTGATTTAAGAAAATATAAATTAATCAACTAACCATGTCTTATAAGTAATGATCAATATAATTCTTATAAATAAATTTAGAAATATTATTCTTTAAAATATTATGTTTTGAAAAAAGGTTTTTGGTTCAAAAATATTATGTCATATAATTCACTTACTAATATAATACTCTTTCTAATATAATTCTCTTTCTAATATAATTCTCTTTCTAATATTATATATTACAAATACCATCTTTAATAATACACTTTCTAATATAATTCTCTTTCTAATATAATTCTCTTTCTAATATTATATATTACAAATACCATCTTTAATAATACACTTTCTAATATAATTTCTAATATAATTCTCTTTCTAATATTATATATTACAAATACCATTTTAATAATACACTTTCTAATATAATTTCTAATATAATTCTCTTTCTAATATTATCTCTTACAAATACCATCTTTAATAATACACTTTCTAATATAATTCTTCTAATATAAATACTCTTATAAATAATATCGCTTATAATTCCCTTTCTATATACTGAGTCTTACAAATATTATGTCTTTCTATGATAATATTATAAATACCTTATAATAAGTACTTATTCATCTGTAAACATTACCCCATGAATTATCGTATAACACAATTAACAAACATATCTATGGGAAAGATAAACCAAGTATATTTGCCGCCAAGTTCAAAATTGGAAATAACAAATATTTCTACCGAATATTTTTTAATAATTGATAAGAACAAAATATTCGCATTTAATTTTAACGATGAGATACCACGGGGATGTATAGCTCTAAATAAGATACAAAGAGAATATTTAAACAAATCTTTACATAGTGACAGTGTAAATGTAGATATAATTAGAAAAAGTGCATTATCTCCTATTTCTTTGTTACGATTGAGTGTAGAAATTATAAATAAAGATAATCGAGAGATTGAAAGAAATAAATTTGTAGAAATTTTTAAAAATATGTATTTAAATTTTCCATTTAATAAAAATCAGTGTTTCTATTTTTATGAAGAGTATTATGGATACAAAGTGACTGTTAGTGAGATACTAACTGTGGGTGAGAAAGATTATGGGGTTTTGTTGGGTGGAACGAATGTATATGTTGTTTCTTCTGGGGACAGGCTTACTTTTATAGGAAATTGTGGGGATAATTTATTGTTAAAACCGGATTTTAATTTTGAATCTTTGGGAATTGGCGGATTGAAAAAAGAATTTGGAATTATGTTTAGAAGAGCGTTTGTTCAAAGAGTTTTTACGCCAGAAATAATACAGAGATTGGGTATACAGCATGTAAAAGGTATAATGTTGTATGGACCGCCTGGTACTGGAAAAACACTAATTGCAAGACAAATCGGATCTTTGTTAAATGCCAGACCACCAAAAATTGTAAATGGACCTGAAATATTGAATAAATACGTGGGACAAAGTGAAGAGAATATTCGAAACCTTTTTTTGGATGCAGAAGAAGAATACAAAAAGAAAAAAGAGAAAAGTTCGTTACATATAATAATATTTGATGAGATAGATGCAATATGTAAATCGAGAGGTACATCTGGTAGTTCAGGTATTGGAGATCAAGTAGTAAATCAGCTTTTAAGTAAAATGGACGGAGTAGAATCTCTTGACAATGTTCTAATTATTGGAATGACCAACAGATTAGATTTAATAGATAAAGCACTTCTCAGACCAGGAAGATTCGAAATTCATATTGAAATTTCTCTTCCAGATGAAGAATCGAGATATGAAATATTTAAAATTCATACAAAACAAATGGAAAAATCAGATTTTTTAGAAACGGATGTAAATTTACATGAATTAGGCAAAAGTAACTAGAAATTACACAGGAGCAGAAATAACTGCGTTGGTAAAAAGTGCAGTGTCGTATGCCTTGGAAAGAAAAGTTCATGAAGAAAAAAAAGATGAAAATATAAAAATCGTAGGAGAAAATAACATCAAAGTAACGATGACCGATTTTATGATGGCACTGGAAGAAGTAAAACCAGCTTTTGGTGTCAACGAAGAAGAGTTTTCTTCGTTTAAAAAAGTTTATTACGAATTGCCTTCTTTTACAGCGGCAACAGAGATTGGTTCTAGTTTTCTCACCAAAGTAAAAACCACCAATCTTTACAATACCTCTTCACTTTTATATTTTGGATCTCCTGGGTCTGGAAAGACCACAATAGCAGTTCGAGTAGCTTTAAATTCTGGTTTTCCATTTATAAAAGTTATATCACCTAAAGACATGGTAGGATTAAACGAATATGAAAAAGTAAATTTTATTAAAGACAAATTCTATGATGCTTACAAATCAGAATACTCAATAATACTTCTCGATGATATAGAAGGACTTATAGACTTTGTTGGAATCGGACCAAGATTTTCCAATTCAATTTTACAAGCAATAAAAATTTTTATAAAAACCGAAGCAAAAAACAGATTATTTGTATTTGGAACAGCAAGTAGTATTGAAGTAGTTCGAGAATGCGGTATTTATGACTGTTTTTATGGTCATTGTGAAATTAAAGATGTAGATTTTGATGACTTTGAAAGACTTTCATTACAAAATAAAGATTTTTCTAAAATACGATTTGAAGGAAATTGTCCGATAAAGAAATTATTAAGTTTACTTGAATTTCCAGATATTTCAAATGAGTGAAAGATATTTTTTTTTATTAAAACAAATTATTGTTTGATAAATTTATATTTTTTTTATTTAAGTTTTAAGTTTATAAAATACAAAGAAAATAATTTTTAGTAAATTATTTTCATTTTTCATAGTTAAGTTTTAAGTTTATAAAGCAAAAGAAATATTTTCTGATAAATTTATATTTTTTATAGTTAAGTTTTAATCTCATGTTCTTAAAAAGAAAAGAAATATTTTTTGATAAATTTATATTTTTATATTTGATTTCATGTTCATACAAAATATTTTTTTAGGAATTCAAACTAAGTAAGATAAAAATTTATTTTTTTAAATTGATAAAATATATTTTGCATTTAAATTTATATTCATACACAATAAATTTTTATGAAAACAATTTTTTAATTAACTTTTTTAAGAAAAAGACTAAAAATGATTAAAAAAGGGCAGCACCAGGATTCGAACCCGGATTACCAGCACCCGAAGCAGGCGTCTTGCCATTGGACTATGCCGCCTCGAAGGGAAATGCACTACAAGAAAATAAATCCGTAAAATAGAGAATTCTTCTCCTAGGAAAGCCAATATTTCTCGAATTTTTCTGACCAAAATCAGTGCAAACTTACATTTCTTCTACAAACAAATCTCTTTTCTCTTTCTAAGTATAGATACAATAATATAAAGATATTATTACATATTCTTCTCAGATATAATATTCTTTCTATTTCTACATTAACAATACAATGGATATAATTTTTATTTGATTCTTTATAACAAAAATATTTTTTCTATTTTTACAGTAATTGGATCATCTTTAAATATAGAAATAATATTTACAAATTTTTTGTTACAAATTTTTTCAATAACTTTCTGTGTTCCTTTTGGAAATTTATACAATTTAATATTATAATGACGAGCAAATAGAGGAAGGTGTTGGAATATAAAAGTGTGCTGTATATCATCTTGACACACAAATATATACGATACTCTCTTACCATGTATATCCTCATATATATTCATTAGCTGGTTATATGTAGTTAAATACGAATTTGAATCTTTTAAAATGTTCAATATTTTATCTGATTGTTCTTTTTCTAACTTTTTTATATCAAAAATGTCAGATTCTAATGTTTGTTTCATTTACGGTTGAAAATATATTACAACGGCTTTTTTTAAAAAATATTTTAAAAAATTAAATTGAAGGAATGATTTTAAAATAGGTTTTCTAGAGAGTGATATACGAATGTATAAGTAAAATGTTTGGATTTTTAAGGATAGAATGCAACTAGATGAGATAAGTTTTTTTCTGTAATGATAAACAGAAAAGAGGATTAGAGGCACCTTTATGGTACATAATCTCTTCTAAGAGAAAAAATTAAAATTACGCTTAAATTTATATTTATAACTATAATCATAACTTACTAACATTTTCATACACTGACCATAACTTAAATTAAAATATAATATAATAATAAATTTAAATAATGGGTAGAAGGAATAAAGTAGACAGCGAAAATATAAAAAATGAAAAAATAAAGGCTGTAAACAACTTGAAGAACAGCGCAGGAGAGATTTTGATGTATGATATAGATGTAGCAATGTTATCCGAGGGACTTCCACCTCAACCGACCTTCCATAACACCACCCACCAACCACCAAGCAGTAGTTGCCAGACTAGTCCAGTCTGCTTGGTTGACACCATACCCTCGTCTTCTGGTACCGATGCCACTGCGTGTGAACCAGCCAACGGCATGAAAAACCTTAATACAGGTGCCATTCTAGAAGGAAATCGACTGATGGTATTGCACTCAATACTTGACTCTGTCACAGCCGTAGAGCAGAAATAGCCTAGAGCTGCTATTCTAGCAGTGCAAAAGAGGTTTGAGAGAATGCCCAGAAATGGCTGGCCTGCAACTCTGGTAATAAAATGAAAATTTTGGCTCGCATTAAATATCGATGCGTTTAAAAAATTCGCACAAAATGAGGCAGAAAGAGAAATAAGGCAAGAAGAGAATGGAGAGCGACGTAGAATCGCCACTTGTCTCACTGACCCATGCACCCTGACTGACACACGGAGTACATAAACCTGAGAGATGAATTCTTGAGTAAAATCAAAGAAATCTCAATGAAGGAAATTGGAAAAGTGGTGGTCCGAACTAGAAAACATCCAAATAAATTGGTTGATAGTAAAGTTCTGGATCTCATTAATCGAGTAGTCGGTGAATATGCAGGAGCTCATGTTCCTGAGTCAATTACGGAAGCCGCGTATATCATGCAAGCTGCGCAGGTATGCTATGACGAGGCAACACGCAAAGAAAAGCCTAGATCCGCTTGGAAGGAAAACATAGAAAGTAAAATTTCTAAGTTAGTACTTTCAAAAGATCTTCTCGATAAGACTCGTAAGCAGGAAAAGCTCTCCACTTCGGAAACGAAGAGCCTTAACAAAATCACGCGAGAGTTTAATTTAAACTTGAGCAGTGTAACTGATCTTTCTGTGGCTTTAGTTAAGAAGAATGAGTCTTTGAATGTTTACGAGAAAAAAAATTCGAAGCATGAAAGTAAAAGCAATTCCGAAAAGAGAATCATATGTTTGAGTTATTCCAGGTCGATTTTATCGTGGGTTATCTGAGCGTGTGGAATCCGAGCATGTGGTCAGTCGTGATGAAATTGTGAGTTTTTGGTCTACAATGTGGAACAAAAATGATGACACAGTCACGTACGATGATTATTTGATTCCATTTGTATCAGATAATCATCCGACCACGTTTCCTTCACTTGATGAATTTGTGAATATCATTAATTGGCTTCCCAATTGGAAAGCTGCTGGAATTGATGGTATTTACGATTTTTTCATTAAGAAACTTACAACTCTTCACAAATATATTTATGATATTGTGAAAGTTATATGTTTAGAAGAAACAACTCAAGCTGATTGGTTTTACTGCGGGCTTACGTATTTAATATCCAAAGGAATTCTACAAAGTGGCTCTGACTACAGGCCAATCACTTGTATGTCCAACTCTATAAGTTAACGACAAAGTGTGTAACAAAGGTCGTTCAAATTGAAGTGGAAAGGCGAGGGTTGCTTGCGGAGAACCAGTTTGGAGCAGTTAGAGGTGTGCAGGGAGCGAAAGAGCAGGCTCTACTGAATATTGCCTTAAATAAAGAGTATGGAAATAATCTTAAGGCAACATGGATTGATGTTAAAAAAGCTTATGAAGCAATAGACCATGCTTACTTGACTCAATGCATTGGAAACCTTAATTTACCGGATTTTATTCTGAAATTTATTGAGATAATTATATCAAAATGGAAAATTGATATATCACTAGGGCCTGAAAAAATCATGAGCAAGAAGATTGAGAGAGAGATTCTGCAAGGGGATAGTTTGTCACCATTGTTATTTGTTTTGTGTATGGATCCATTAAGCCGAAAGCTTAATGAAAAATACACAAAAGTGACGGTACAAACAGACGCAGAATCCCATTCTACTAATCATCTCTTGTTTATTGATGATCTAAAGCTCCTTGCTAAAGACAGTTCGACATTGAGTGCTATGATAGACGAGGGAAAAGATTTTTTGAAGGTGATTGGGTTAGAAATTAACAAAGAGAAGTCAGCCACAAATGATACGTTTTTCTAAGATACTGCTACTTTTCTAGAAGGTGTTAGTGTTTACAAATATTTAGGAATAATAGAAGATAGCAGAGAAATTCCAACCGTAGCACAATCGATGAAATAGAAAGCAAGCTGATATCAAGAGTTGAAAGACTTTGTCACACTAGATTAAATGCAAAAAATTTATTTTCTGCAATCAATAAACATGCGATATGGTTGATCAACTATCACATAGGAGTTCTTCGACTTGAACCGGCTGACTTCTTTAAGTTAGATCATGCAGTGCGTGCGGTGTTGGTTAAGAATAAGGTACATCTTCGCCCAGGATGTAAAGAGCGTTTGTACCTTTCTAGAACAGAACTTGGAAGAGGCCTACATAGTGTTGAGTTGCGAAGCGAACATATGCTTCTGCAACTCTTGGATTGTCTGGAAAAAAGTAAAGAAATATCAACTAGACGAGCAGCAATCCTCAAGGTGGAGAATAATAAAACCCATCTTGCACTAATAAAAGGCTTCTTAAAAGTAAAGTACAGGTTGGTAGAAGAAGTCACTAAGAAAAGTTTAGAAGAAGCTCAACTTGCAAAACTATATAACGAAATTGAAAAATAAAGACTTCATTCGAAGTTATATAAGACAAGAAAAAATGAGTTTGGAAGTGTTAGTGCTTTTCTAGATGGCCAAAGAATGGGAACATTAGGTCACGTATTGACGCAGTGTTGGATCATATCCAGGATAGAAATGTATTCTGGGGAGCAGATGGTATGTGCCAACATTGCAATAAATCTGGTAAGACTGAAAATCGGATAGCAACTCGATGTTAAAAAATGCTAGCCATGCTACACCAGACGGCAAAATGAATGAGTAAGAGGCGTGGACTTACTCCTACTAAATAGATATGATTTCAAGTTTTCAAAACGAATTAGAAGTCATTCAGTTGCAGAAATTCTTGATAATGAGTATAAAGAGGTAAGAGAGGAGACCAAAATAAAAAATGAGGTCAGGATTCGAAATAATAGACCGGACATATTTATTTTAGATAAGAAGAAGAATAAGATAACACTCATTGAAGTAGGAATCACCTCCCAAGATTCACTTCAAATAGTTGAAACTGAAAAACTTAGGAAGTATGACCTGCTAGCCAATGACTTGGGCCTTATTTATAAGTGTAGTGTTGAGAATATCCACTTATGTGATGACCTGGGACGGTATTGTGACAAAATACAATAAATCTCATCTTAAAAGACTAGAAATACCCATGAATGTAGAGGCATACATTCAGTCTATAGTAATTAAGAAGACTGTCAAAACAATTTCCTTTGATCGACGAAGAGGACTTGAGTCAGGACTAAATGCCGAAGAGAGCTAGGAGAGTGCGTCAATGGGTGTTATTATGAGAGCAGAGCTGCATGAGGAATTTAAACCTTATTTAAAAGAAGAGAAGAGATGGAAGATGGTGCAAAAAATTTTAAACCGAAAAATAAAGCAACCCTTATTTCACAAGGAGGAACCACTTTAGAGGAACCGACCAATAACATAAATGAAGAGTCGGATTTGGAAGAAGAGACAGAAGTGGTTAAAGAGGTAAATGAAAACATATAAAAAATTGTAAAAATATTTTGACCCAGAATTTTATTAAATAAATTATCACATATTCTTCTCAAATATAATATTCATTCTATTTCTACATTAGGAATAAAATGGATAAAAGTTTTATTTGATTCGTTACAAGCGAAACATTTTTTTTATTTCTACAGTAATTGGATCATCTTCAAATGTAGCAATAATGTTTACATTGGTTTTTTTATTACAAATTTTTTTAATATCTTTTGACGTTCCTTTTGGAAATTTATACAATTCAATATTATTACGAAGAGCAAATTCACGAACGCTTTGGAATAAA